AGACAGAAATAATTCCAACTTCTGAAATAATATTGCTTATTTTTTTCCTGTTAGGATATAGTAACAAGGTACTGTTTATTGCAAGCATTTATTGCCATAAAAGTCAGAAAACATAGTGTAAAAAGGGACTGATGGAAAGAAAAATTGAGTTCTGAGCTAAATGCTGTTATTTAATTCTACTTTTTGCACTCAGACACCTCATGAAATAGGAAGTAGCTTCATTTTTTTGCCAACCTGAACAGAGAGTGAGGAAAGAACCCATATATCAATACAAAAGTGTTAGATTAGCACTGAACACTACTAAAGAGAAAAATGTTGATATTGTTGCCTGGGCATTCTTGAAAATTGCCCATGTAGCACACAGATCCATGCTTAGTTACCACGTGCATCGAATCAGAGACACTTGCACCTGCCTTGATAGGAGCAGCATGCACACATTACTGCATCTGCAGTTTTCCCTGTGTAGCAATGTCTCTGTGAGATGGAGAATGAAGGATTATTCTCACTGCGCATCTCCTTGAGGTTTTCTTTCAGCTGCTTTGTTACCTTTCCATGCTCATGCTATGCTATGCTAAAATGCCAACTCCTGACTAGAGAGATAGCACAGGACAGAGAGACACTGAATTGCTCCAAGCAAGCAGCCAGGCCAGGATGGGGAGCACAGAGCTCCCAGGGAAAGGTTCATGCTGTGCTCCTCTGCTTATCTGGAGGAAAGGAAGATGGACGTGAGCAGCTTTTCAAGGGATTTCTTTAGACCAGTAGTTTATTAAAAAATCAGAAATCAGAATTTTGTCACTCACTCTAAGGAATGCATGCCTCTTTACACACAAATAAAGTAGACTTGAGTATATACTTTGTACTAAAATAAAGTGGGGAGGGATGATCTAAGCACAGCACACTGTGTTTGGAAGGTTTGCTCTTTGCTAGTAGGACCCTGCATTTGCCTCTTTTGTATTTCAGACTGTTCTTTGCACATCTCCCCAACCTGCTGAGGTCCTTCAAAGGGTTTTAAATTACTCTGGGGTCTCAACCTGTCCTCCCAGAAAGAAGTAACAAATCAACACCTGCTGGTTTGGTTTTTTCTTTATCCCAGTCTGTTTGTATATTATGGAATCATCTCACTTTTCTGTCAGAAAGTTTCTACAGTTTCCTGCTGGTTATCTGTGCCTTGTGGAGACTGTAGCTGGCACTTCTGATTCACCAGGTCTGTCCTGCTGACCCATCCTCTAACAAAAGCCTGGGGGGTGAGTCATTGCTCTGATTAGTGGCACATAAAAATGATGGTAACTAAACCTCTTATTACTCCTTTACAGTTTGGGAGGCTGGTTACAGCATCATCCATTTTAGGTAGGTTATTAGGGTAAATCTTTCTTAAATGTCATTTGTACTGTACTACATCTTTCTCAGCTTTGTACTCTAATGCAAGAAGCGTCACTGATAGGTACTGACTGAGAGTGCCCAGAGACTATCTCAAATTATTTTGAAGGACTCAGCTGAAAGCATTGATGGCCAAAAGTGCTAGAGCAGTCACACTAAGTACGGCTGATGCTATGCTTTAACATAGGGTACAGACTGCTTTATATTTTGATGGCATTTGTCAGACTTCCTTTTCTTTCTGAAAAAAAAAAAAAAAAAAAAATCAGATGTTGACTTGAAGATTAGGGCCACGATGTAAAAGAAAATATTCACTATGCCACTGCTTACTGTGAAGCCTAACTTTTAGGCTTTCAGACATCCCCTGGACAGAAAAGGGGACTGAAATACTGACAGTCTGTCATCACTTCATCCTGCTTTTTTATTTAAGGACAAGAAGTAGTAATGTCTTTTTTTTTTTTTTTTTTTAAATCTCAATTTATTTGCTGTCTTTACTAAAGGCTAACTGACTGTAATGCTGAGGAGCTAAAGTGGGGGCCTTGATGGGGCTCAGACAAGGCTACTCAGAACATGGGCCAGAACAAATAGTTTTCTCAGTCTGAAAAATTAAAGAACATTTGTTATGTGATTTGGATGCAGAGAAGGCCATGATCTTCCCTTTTGGCATATGCACAGGTTATCTCTTAGAGCAGTCTGGAAGGACCCTCTGTGACTTTGAAATAGTCTGCTGATGACAACACAGACAAGAATTAGACAGAATTGGCCTATTTATTTTGTAAATAGGCCAAGAGCACCAATCCTAGCTATGTTATGTGGAACAAAGGTATTTTCATCAAATTGATAAAAAGAGCTCAAAAGGATACTGGAATTTAATTGCCTAAATATATTAGCACCAGAAAAGTTTGGTAAATTTTTATTAACACCACTAACACCCTTCTCTGAGCCTGTTAAGATTAGCATGGATTAGTACTAGAACGCATCTGAGTGTAATCAGCTCTTCTACAGAAACTTCTTTGGGTGTACATCCTTCTGTTGGCCTCATTTATCCATTCATTGATAAAATCAGTGTCTTGCTATCGTGCAGGTGGCAATTCCCTGCTAGTGTTGACATGATGCAACTTGCCCTGCGTGTCAGTGCAGCTCCAGTGGATGTGCAGGGTGAAGGGGATTTCTGGCTGGGATCGCTGGTGGTGCTGATGGCAAGCAGGGCTTGGCTGTTTCTGCCAGTGATGTTGTCATGGCTCCCAGTCTGGTTGCTGACAAAGCCTGAGAGACAAATATGTATCTGGAGTGGCTTCTGCTCTCTCTCACCACTTCACAGCTGAAAAGAATAGCATGGGACTGAGACCTGGTATCTCTTTTTCTGCCAGAATCCTATTTTACCTCTTCTATTCATTGATGTCTTTCTGTAGCACTTTCAATCTCTTTTCCTAGAACCCAAATACATTTCTTAGTCAAGGGAGCTGAACACTGAGATCATGAACATCTGAGAGACAAGTCTATTCATTCAGGAGTCCTGCAGCTGGGAAGCTGTTCTTTGATTCTTCCTAAGAGAAACCAAAGATTTGCTCCCACACCCCTTTAATTCAAATCTTTATAACTCACTTGCCTGCCTCCACTCACTGCTATTTGGGTGTCCTTTCAGTTACCTGCTTGTCAAACTATAGCACTAAAGAGCTGCTTACTCAGCAATATAATGATAAAATTCTTTTTTGGAGGGTGGGAAGTATGGAGCAAGGGAAGTATTTTTTTCATTTCATCCTTTAACATTAGAGAAAACGCATCTGTACCACTACCCAGTTTCCAGGCAGACAATTTTTCTGCAAGTTATGTAAATAAGGGACTTTTTTTTGGTGTAGCACAGGCAATTGTACCAAGGTTTACACCTGCAGTGTCTGGTTTCTGGAACAAGAATCCAAATGCTGACTCATAATTTATATGTAAGAAACTTGGCATTGCCCTAAGGAATAACAGCCAAACCACCTGGTCTGATATGTAATTTATTTCCTGCAATTGACTGGTTTGCTGAGCCCTACAAGGTACACTGAAAACTTTTGTAAAGCAGTTAAGCTGGTCTGCAAAGAACTTTGTTAAATTGAACATACAGAGCAATTTGTAAATGGAATGAACAGAACCTAACAAGAGAAAATGTGATATACAACAACAGAAAACAAGTTGGGTACTGCAAGAGAAGTAATTGGAAAGGGAAAGAGTACAATGTCTGCACAGTTTTTGCTAGATATAAGAGCACAAAAACAAGTAAAATTTACTGTTAGATATCTTACTTCCAGGACCTGCAATGGGAAAATCAAAAGCTATGGAAAAGATAACCAAAGTTAGCTAAGGTAAGTTAACTTTGCTGAAAACTTGTTACCAAAAACATGCTTTACATTAAAGAACAGAAAGAGGACTGCAGATGATATTCCTCTATTCTTTTCTTTTGGTCATAGCAAAGAACTAAGAGCTCAGAACTGGCACATAAGTGAGATACAGCAGGGAGTGTGTGTGTACAGCAGATGGCATGATCCACTCTGATTTAACAGCTGCACTTGAGCATAGTTTTTGACCTCTAGTTTGTGATAATTAAAATTCTCCTTCCAGTACTGGAGAGAAGGGATAGGCAAAATTAATCTCCTGACTATAATTCTATAATGCTAAAAGAACCATTTTACTCAAAATGATAAAAAAAATCTTTTCTCTGTCACCCTTGGTTCAGGGACTATTTGTACATAAAAATATTTCATATAATGGTCCAGGTGTTTCTGCATCCCTAGAGCGAAGGGTTAGAGTGAAGCCAGCAGTGACAATGTTACTGACCAATTACCTGCTGTGGAATATAGTAATAGGGATTTATCTGCTTTTCAATGACAAACCTTAGCTGAACACTGAAAATACAAAAGTGGCCCAGGATACAGAAATAAAATTAGGATTCATTGGTGGTGATGCTTTAAGAAGAATGCTGGAGGTTAAAAAGAAGCACTTGGATCTGTTATACACCGTGAAGAAACCCCAACACACTGATTTTTTTGGAAAGTGGTGATTTGGAGAAGCAGAGACTTCCTGTGTCAAGTTAACTTCAAATCCTGCATGGTATCTGACTGCCTGGTTAGCAGCTAAGAAGGGCATTTTGCAGTACCAGGAAAGTGTCAGGAATGCTTTGCATTCCCCAGCTTGCACCTGGGAGCAGAGACCATTTGTTAAAGAATTGAACTGATTTTGCCACCTTTTGGGCAAGACCCAGAAGGAGCATTGGCTGCCTGACTGCTAAATCCACAGAGGAACTTCAGCCTCTGGAATACTGAGCACAGCTCTTGGGCCCTGGGGGCATTCACATCCATCCCGGGGAGCCCTGGCTCCTGGCATGATATACTGCTCCTTCCATTTCTACACTGAAATCTCTATTCTAGGGCACAGAGCACAGCTGTTTATTTGTTCAATTGTTTTAATTCAAATGATTTAAATATATTTTCTATTAGTGGAATGGTGGCTTTGACTGTATGTTCTCTAAGTTTGGTAACAGAGGGGTTCTAATTTCTGAAAAAATCCCAGCAAAGCTGAATATGAGAAAAATGCCTATAGAAGCAATAAGCCTCTCACTTCAATAATAGTCTTTCCTCCTCCTTTGGAGTGATGATTGCAGGATGATCTTATTGTCAGTGTACTAGAAACAACAAAGAAAACAAACAAAGGAGATGAGCATGTCTTGTACATTCCCCCCCTTTAATATTATAGAAAGCTCATGATGAATTTCGGATCAGAATCTCTGTTCAGTTAGAAAGAGAGGGGGAAGGCCACTAGATGGTGGTAAAAACCCAAGCCTTTGCTATGAGATCTGTGAAAAGAGAAGTCCAGGGGGGCAAAGAAGGGGAGGAGGAGCCACAGTTTGAGTACTGAAGTCATTATTGCTTGGAGTCTATAAAAAGCCAGTTGCACAGTAAGTAATTTATTCGTGGTCAGCTTTGACTCTATGGATTTACTAATTCTTTTCCCTCTATTTTTTTTCATCTTTTGCCACCAAGGAGGCCCCAGCCCCAGATGTCAGGGGGGCTGAAACTTCATCTCTCTGGAGGAAACCTTGCAGATGAGGAAAAGCGGCTGAAGGAGCAGCTCTGGTAAATAGGTACAGTAAATTCTTGATTGCAAACAAAAAGTGGCTTTTTGAAACTGAAAATTGTTTAGCATTATATGCTTTGAATTTTTATTCGCAACAAGTCACTGACAATCAGCTCTGAATATTCCCTTTATTAAAAATGTAATGAATTACAAATTTCCCTAAATATTGTCATTACCAGAAAACCATTGAATAAAATATTCTGGATTTGGAAGAGAAAACTTTTTTACAATAGAATTCTACTCCCACCAATTCTGTAACCTTTGTGTATCCTGAAAAGTATGGATGTTCCTTGTTTAGATGTTTAATATCATGCTTTTAAATGAGCATGTTAACAGTGCACAGATAAGGTGTTTATAATGTTCATGCAAAATTAAATGTACAAAGGTCAGGAAAGCATTTAAACCTTTTACTGAAAATGTTCAATTCTTTCTTGTGTCACTAATAGAAATTTCTCTATATTGTATTAAAGTTAGCGGTTTCTGCTGTACCTAATGCTACATCCTCCTGCATTTCTGGGGTCTGAGACCTGGGACTGGGAAAACTGTTTTTTGTTTGTTTTTCAGCAGAACTTCCAGGACATTCTGGGGAAGTACTCCAGGGAACCAGATAGAATAAACAAAACTATGAATGAAGAGTGCAGGAATCTTTTAATCAGTTTGTGATTTTAATTTCCCAGTAAGGATAGGTAGAAAATCTCTGAGCAAACTAAATTTTAATTTTGAACCAGTGAAGGAATGTGGTGTAGAAGAGGTGGGACATGTACAAGTCAAATCAAATAGAAATGGCTGGTATTTATGTTGTGAACTTCTGCCTGTAATCTTCATTATGTATTTTTTTTTTTAGGCAGGATCTTCTGCCTTTTGGAAAATGCATTTACCACACTCCTTGGCAAGCCCTTCAGAAGGAACAGAACGTGTTGGCTCCCAGAGATGAACACATCCTCTCAATTCTATGTTTCTGAACTAAACCTGAGTTCCTTCGGTAGCAACTTTACCGTGCCTACTGCAACGAGCAAGGCATCGCCATGTGAGCAAGTGGTCATCGCAGCTGAGGTGTTCCTAACTCTGGGCATTGTAAGCCTGCTTGAAAACATACTGGTTATATGTGCAATAGTTAAGAACAAGAACTTGCACTCACCCATGTATTTTTTTGTTTGCAGTTTAGCAGTGGCTGACATGCTGGTTAGTGTGTCTAATGCTTGGGAGACCATAACCATATACTTAATAAACAATAGACACGTCATTATGGAAGATGCCTTTGTCCGTCATATAGACAATGTCTTTGACTCCATGATCTGCATATCTGTGGTGGCTTCCATGTGCAGCTTGCTGGCTATAGCAGTAGACAGATACATCACTATCTTCTATGCCCTGCGCTATCACAACATCATGACAGTGAAAAGATCAGGGCTCATTATTGCATGCATCTGGACCTTTTGCACGGGCTGTGGCATTATCTTCATTCTTTATTATGAATCAACTTACGTGGTCATTTGTCTCATCACTATGTTTTTTACCATGTTGTTCCTCATGGTCTCGCTGTACATACATATGTTCCTCCTGGCTCGTACTCATGTGAAGAAAATCGCTGCTTTGCCTGGGTACAACTCTGTCCGTCAAAGAACCAGCATGAAAGGAGCCATCACTCTGACTATGCTTCTTGGCATCTTCATTGTTTGCTGGGCTCCATTCTTCCTTCATCTCATCCTGATGATCTCCTGCCCTCAAAACCTCTACTGTGTTTGCTTCATGTCCCACTTCAACATGTACCTCATTCTCATTATGTGCAACTCGGTGATTGACCCCTTGATCTATGCCTTTCGTAGCCAGGAAATGAGGAAGACCTTCAAAGAAATAATTTGTTGCTATAGCCTGAGAATGCTCTGTGGGTTATCAAACAAATATTAAGATAATAAAACCAAACCAGGGAAGAGACTGAAAAGGCAACATCTTCCTGCACCCTGTAATTCTGGTGAAATACCTATGGAACATTTTCTCCATTCAGCTGTCATGATTCCTGCAGCAATCAGAAACCCTTTTTTAACATGTGATTTTACATTTCTTCCCCTCCACACACCTCTCTCCTGCTGGTGGTTGGAGCTACTCAGTGCATCTGTATTATGGGGATAAAGGATTTTTTGACTCTTATTTACTCTATTGAAGATTGGAATTTATAAGAGGATTATACAGAGAAAACCTTATTTTTATTTCTGCTAAATGAAATGAGTGAGTTCTGCCATCTGAATGAACCCACCGGCCTCTCAGTGTGTGTTTCTATTGGTGTTCTCTTTCTCTCTAGATATTAAAAAAAAAAAAAATTAAAATTTTTCTCGCTAGATAAAAAAGCATGGCTTATTTTTATGCCCAGAATTAACAAGGAAGTTTTTTGCTATTTCCTTCTGAACACATAAAATCAGAGAAGTAGCTCCAATTATCAAGCTCCACATACCTTGGTCAGAAGTTATGATCAATACATATGCACAATTCAGCAGTCTTGTATTCCAGTCATTACTATTACTGTCATAAAATTTATATTGTGTAAGATGCCAATGTTATCATGAGATTATCCAGGCTGGATACAGCACTTTGTCATATCTGACTATATATGTTCAAATCACTGTGAAGCTAGATGTACCACAGGTGGATTTTAAGATTGCATATGAAGACTGAGCTGGTTCTAGTTTGTCTGTTTTCTTTATTTGCCAGGGCTAGGGAAGCAAAGAGATCATAGCCTGTAGATATTCATGTAATATTTTGTGGAGATGGAAAGATTGAGTGAGTGGCTGCCTTTGTGTAGACCTTAGAGAAGCCTTTTGGATGTGAAGAGCTTGTGTTACTGTAGATTGTATCTTTCAAGCTGGGAGAGACAAAACAAGTTTGATAATCAAAAGGCATGGCAGGCAAAGGCAAAAAACAGATTTCAAAACATCAGGGACATGTAGCTATAACAGAGTCCTGACTTTTGTTCCCCAAACAAGAGTTTTCCTCTTAGTTGAGGGGATTCTAAGCTGAAACCCTCAAGTATTTTTGTGTGAGTAGTTTGCATCTAGTCATACTTCCATAAGCCTGCTGTTCTGCAACAGCTGTGTAATGTGCAAAATACTGGGCTTACAAAAGAGGGAGGAAGTGCAACTCTGGAATTTCTTGATGACCATGAATCGTTCATATCTTGTACTGTGATTTAAGTCATAGAAAGATTTCAAATGGTGTTAAACTACTACCTATATAGCTGAATATATCTTGAAAAAACAAACTCTTCCTTCTGAAATCTGGAAGAATCATGCTTGTTATATTTGGTTTATACATGCTGTAAGACTCTTGTTTATCAGTAGACCGTTTATGATTTATTCCATGAGTGCTAGGTTATACTTCCAAGGTGAAAGTCCTGATTGGGTTTTAGGAATCTTTTTTAGCCATAAGTGTGGTCAAATATGTGAACAGGTGCTCAATGGTTGTGCAAAATCCATCTCAAAGAGATTTAAAACTTGACATGGCCCTGAAAAATCTGCACTAAATTGAAAGCTGACTCAAACTTTGAAGTTAGCCCTGCTCTGAACCATTAGGAGCAGATTACCTCCACAGGTGCCTTCCAACCCAAATTATTCAGTGATTCTATGACACAGTTTGCATATAATGATAAAATTATGTTTTCCCCTCCTAATTTTATCTCTTGTGTAAGAAAAAATGGAAAGTATTCCCCTCCACACACTTAGAACCTACTTTATGTCTTCATTTGCTTAGAAGGTTTCTTCTTTTGACAAGAGGAGTAAGGTCCACCTTTAGCACCAGAGTTATACATTTTGCCTGCTTAAAATTTGCTATTCCTCCAGCTCACATATATCTCCCTCTGACATGAGTGGGAATGTTATTCTCACTGGAGATACTTTATTATGCTGACTGATATACTGATTATCAGTGCACTAGGGGCTAGAGTCTTCCTTCAGCTATATCTGAAAATGGGATTTCAGAGAATGCTGGTGGTCATTAGTGAGAATTTTGCCTTGTTTCAGTCCATCTCTTAATCCTATCCATAAATATTCTCTAAATGTTGGCTCTTGAAACTATGAATGTAAATGACAAAAGGAGACAGTTCCACTGCTAAGTGAAAGGCACCAGCTGATGTAAATAAATCAATAAATCTTCACTGGGTATTGCAAATAAAACAGTTTTGTACATAACTGTAAATGAACTAAGGGGAAATCAAAACTGTAATAGTTTTTGGTATTTTCTTGAATTGTATATTACTCTTTTTTGTTTTGTTTGAAATCTGTTTGATGTATAAACACAGACATATGAAGAAACTATTAAACTGGATTGCTGGAACAGCCCACATTTCTGGTTATTCAATGTAATGTTTCTGCTACATTATTCACAGAGGGAATATTGCATTACAGACTTTTACGTCTCATTTAAACAGATGCCTTCTTAAGAAACATTCTGAATGAGAGTTACAGACTAATACAGTGTATTTACATTCATACCTATGCTCCCCTGGGTGTCAGAATCACATCTTCATTATAAGCTTTTCTGGTGGGTAGCTGAAACAGTTTAAAAGTGAAATGAAAGTCTCAAAACAGGCTAGAACATTTCCTGCAAAACAGGTTGTTTACACTCTAGTAATGAATATAAAATACATATCTCTGGGAGACCATGACAAGCTTTAGCATGTTTCTTTCTCCAGCTTAGCTGTGCAATAAAAGGAACATTTAGCATACTGTCACTTCTGTCAGAGCTTGGAAAACACTGAGTGTTGTGATAGACTGGGATGAGCCGGCATTGTGTAAGCAGGAAATTTGCTGTCACAGGACAGTCACGAAAAATTAGTTGCTAGACTGTTGTTGGATGATGTCCCTGCAGTAAATGACACTACTCTTGCTTATCCAGCCAGACATTTACTGTTTAGCTTTAGTCACAGGACAAAGAAGCTTGAATCACACTATTTCTGCCCCAAAGCGCCAAAACTAATTTTTATTGCTCACTGTTGCTTTGATGATAGAACACTTCACTGCTTCTAACTCATGTGTCACAGTTTAAAAGTTCTTAATAAGCAAGTATTCCAATCTCCCTCCTGTTGCAGGTGGGATCAACTTCTATAAAGTCATGTGCATGTTAAGCAGATTAGTATGAGGGGGAATATTAAAAGGAAAAATAGGAGTTTTTTCTCCATACCAAGGCCACAATAAGTTTCTAGGAAGTACTAGTTTCCCAAAGAGCCTTAGCATCTCCTACAAAACAAAATGGTTATAACTGGATGGAGCGAAGAAGTTGCATCATGATCCCGCTTCCCAAATGGGCACAAATCTGTCACAAAAAGGTCTAATTACTGAGTACCGGTGCCACTGAGTCTGGGCTGGGAGGGATGATTGTTTTTAGATCTACAATCTACAGGTCTGCACCCTTTGTGCAACCAGTGTCCAGCAGTCCACTAAGATAGTGTGGAACCCTTTCAAGAGTGGTTGCTCATTCATTCCCACCTCTTAGGCTTATCTCCTCTGAAAACCTCAGAATATCTCTCTGGAGACTGGAGTTGCATTTTTTGTGGATCCTGCACAAATAAGTGCAGAAAGCACAGGAATTTCCTGCACACACAAACTTTAGGAAGGCAGAAAGGTTTTAAAACCTTTGGGAAAACAACTCCCTCACAGTCCGCTCTCTGAAATCTTCAAGGATTCTGTTTTACTCTAAAGTCTTGTTGTGGATTCTCCTGCCTATTTTTCAGTAAATGCTTCCTCTGCTGCTCATCAGTTTCTTGAAGACCAATTCATGGTGACCACTGCTGTGTTCAGGAAGTGCAAAGGACAGTCCGAGTCTTCAGCTGGTTTTCATGTACAGGGCCCTTCCTGTTAGGCAGGGAGGGTGAGGAAGATTTGAGAACATGTATGTGGAAGTAAGGATCCTCATATGGGACAGACATGTCCTCACATGACAGAAAGTCATGCAGGCTGTGGTGGAGCTGCCTGCATAAGACTCTCTGCTAGTTTATCTCCAGGTGAGATGTTTCTCCCTTCTTTTCTAATCTTAGCCTGTGTTACAACCTGAGCTGTGAGTATTTTGGATCCTCCCATTCTTCATGCAGGACAGAAGAGTCTGGGGTGTATGTGTACACCTACATACACGTCTACATCAGTTTTTACTCCCAAATACAAAATGCAAGTACAGATGACATTAACAGATGAAATGCATGTGAGGATGTATGGTTCCTTTTCCTCTAACCTTTCTGCTTTTTGTTATTTGTTACACTGCTTTCCAGTCTGCAGCGTGTTTTTCATATATTTCCTCTCCCTGTGAACAAACTAGCAACAGTCAAAATCTGATGTAGAAGGAAAAAACCTCAAGTATCTTTTGCATCTTGAGGTTTTAAAAATTATAGGAAATCAGTGTTCCCCTAGCACCAGTTAAACTAAAGATCTACTACATTTGTTAAATTCTTATAGTTTAAGCATTATTCCCACAACAGTTTCTTTTGAGCATCTTGTTTTAAAAAGCTCTAAGAATGCATGACCAGCTGTGCTGAGCAAGGAGTGAAGGGTTTTCAACAAAACAAAGGGCAGGTCTTTAGGGACATTATGTAAAGTCTGGACTTGTGTCTAGTAATCCTTTGGAATGCCAGCAGAGCTCCCAGGAAGCTGTGATTTAGGGACTTCTTTGGCAGGATGTTATATTTATAGATTTGTGACCAATAGTTCTAAATGAATGGGTCTTACACAAATGTACCTAATCACTCTTGGATCTCTTTATTTTAATCTGAAATGTCTTGTTTCACAAGTTAGATCTGTTGAGTGGAAAAAGGATTTTTTTTTCTCTTATAAAACATCTGCTTGTAAGTTTTCTTCATTGCCCTGCTGTCCTTATGTTGCAAAGAAACGAAGTATTTAGTCTCCATTCATTTCCCTTGTGTCATTATCCTACTCCCCGATATTCTTCTATAAATTTTATCTTTGCCAGCTAAGAACCCTGGCCTATTTAATATCTACTGGTATCTTCATACCTTGTTGTCATTATGTTGTTTTCCTAGACCTATTATATTGTTTTTGGCTCAGAGGGGACCAGATAAGCAAATGATAATCCAGATCTAGATGGAAACTACATTTCCACAGTGCCAGGTGCTGCTGCCTCTTTTGTTCTCTATGCAGTGTGTAACAATATACTTTCATTTAGTACAGCGTGCTCTATAATTTGGAAAATTTCAAGATCTCTAAAATGCTCATGGGAACAAATGCTCTCTGTTCTCTAAATAAGCTTTCATTTTTGATGGTAAGGACATGCAAAACTTAGGCCAAAAATACATTGCTTTGGGGTGTTTCAGTCTTTCCAGGACCAAGTATATGCCTTGGCCATGTCCTGTCTCTGTGGCAGAACTCATCTGCTGGACACGGCTTTCATTTCCCTGCCTCTAATGGGATGGCAGCCTGGCCACAGAGGCTGGAAGGGCCTCGTGTCCCAGCCATGCTCTGCGTGGCTGAGGATCAGGGAGCTCAAGTTCAGACAAAAACTCCTCCTACAAGCTCATAATTTCCTTGAGAAGTGTGGTAAGGGTGTAATTTGCACAGCTACCTCCAGATGGTGATTTATCACTCCCCTCCTTTCAATTAGGCTGGTTTTACACCTGATTAAAGCACGATGAGACATGGAATGATCAGCTTTGTATGCTGGCTGCAGATGATTTGCAAAGGCATCACATGAACTTTTTTGATGCTCTCTTGCATAAATACCTTAATGAACAGTGACAAAACAAAAACCCACAACAAAATGGGATTAATTTTTCTCTTTAGTTTGCCAGGTTTTTAACAGGATACAATTGCTTTTGGCAGGCAATAAGTAAAGTGGCCAATGAATTAGCTTTTTCACTGTTATTTTTCACAGATATTTTGTGCCAACTTCACTTACCCTGAAAATATGACCCTAGGAGTAACTATCATCTTTGTATTATACCTTTCCTTTGCTCTGAACTTCTTTCTGAAAAGCGTTGCATGGTTTTTGAGTCAGAACTCAAGTCCCTGAAATTCTACATTTCCACAGTTCGTAGTGCTGGGTTAGCCTTATCTAGACTGTTATTTCTTCTTCAGAGGCTCCTTGTGCTTTTTAAAGTCAAGGGAATCTGTCCAGGATATTCTTCCATTCAGAGAATAGTAGGAAAGATTCCTCTACTTTAACCTTGTTATTAATATATATCAACATCAAGATTAGTAGTGCCAGCATTGACCTGAGCTCAGAGATACTTCACTGAAACTAAAAGCAGCTCTTTCACAAAAGCTTTTCCTAGACAGCATAAAGAGCCCTGGCTATAAAAAGGAGATGACATTCCTGTTCTCTGCTCACAGAGTAGTACATAAGTGGTGGAGCTTGGGCAAGCAAGAATTTTAAGTCTGTGTTAAGTTCACACCTAACTCTTAACAAAAGATAAATAGCCTTTTCCTACTGTGAGGACCAGGCTGCATTAAAAGGTGTCCTGGTATGCATGCTTGTGCCAAATTCAGTTTTAGAGGAGTAGAGTCAGTGAGTTGCTGGAAACTTGGCTGAAAGTCTGTGTGCAAGACCCTCATCAGGTATGACTGAATCCCATTCCAATGAAGTGTCTTGTAAGACATCTTTTCCCCACAGAGCCATATAATAGGAATTCAGGATATGGTACCTTTCAAGCTCCTTCTCCTTCAGAAAGGAAAACAACAAAATTTTAAGCATTAGTGGAAAATCAGTGTGTCAAGAAAGAAATTTATTTCTTATGTTCCTCAAACTGAGAACCCATCTTGATGGGTCCCCAAGATCCAGTGCTGTGACTGGGGCTCTCTACAAAGTCACGTCATATGGAAACTGTTTAAGTCACTTGGAAAAGGTAAGTTAAATCTTTGACTTCTCTTGGTGTAAGGTGCTATGCTTGGTACTCATAATTTGGAAAGCAGGTCCTTGAATAGTCCTCCTTCCAAATGGCAAAGAAAAGAGATGAATCACTTGAACTTCAATGCAGTTCCAATGACAGTTTATATCCCTGCATAAAGTGCATAAAAAATGAAGAGGTAGGAGGTAAATCCTTGAATGAAATCCAAATTTTTCATCTCACAACAGAACTGCTAAATATTCAGGTTTTGACATTGAAAAGGGACATTTGTGTGGCCATTCCTGAATCTGGAGGTAGATTTTTGAAGGAAAGCCTTGTGAACAAAAAGATGGTATTTGTTTAGTCTGATGGTTTAGTTGCACTCTGGAAAGTTGAATGGTCGCATTAGAGAAATAAGAGGAGAAACATATATTTTATTAACTTTGAAGTAATTTTAAAGATGGTATCAGTAGTCTGTGTGTTCTTGGTGTGCCTGCCATCCAAAGCAGA